CTTGCAGAAAAATAGGAAAGCCATTTCCGTCTAAAAAGGACAGCAATCTGCATAAACCTTACAGATGTCTAGGTACGGAAACAGACTGAATCTTCATCTTAATTTCTCTCATTGCAACGGAACTAGAATTCAGCTTTGCTACCGTCCTCTAAAAAGGAAGGATAAACTTCCTCCGCCTTTCTTACTCCTGAGTAGTTCTGCAGAGATTATGCTGGGATAGAGAAGAGATGACCCGTCTTGTTTCTCATACACCTGTGTTATCAATACACATAACTGAAATTAAATTTTGCTTGATGGACCCGTTGAATGGACATCAGAAATGGGGGAACAGATCTAGGGTCAGATTTCGCCCCCCAAAAGAATGGATAAGTCCATCATTTTCAAAACCCATCCACGCAACGGCCCTAATTTAGGATTTTGGCATCGCTTTACATCGTTTGCATGACATATCCACTTTTTATTTTTTATTTGTTTGTTTCAAATTTATATATGCCGCCCAGCTCACTGTCCAAGTGACTCTAGGCACTGTTACAAGTAAAAAACTATGAAATCTTAGGAAAAAATATACACGTCAAAAACTACAAAGGGTTCAAAATAAAACTAAAAAGTTAAAACTACAAACTGAACAGGCGGAGAGAGCATCGCCAAGCTACCAATTTTGCTTAATGCTTTCCTTTGGATTTCTGCACTGAGCAGCTCTGCCTGTCTGGGTTGACTAGCTAGTTTAAGGGTACCTTCCAGCCGAATAATTCTGTGAGTTCCCTAAGAAAAGATCCTACGAATTGTCTCAATATTGCATACTCCTTCTGGCAGCAATGTTAAAGAGTTCTTGGCAGGGGATATATGTATATGAATTCAGTCATTCAAAAACCCTCTTGGTTTCCACTCATGCCCTGTAATGACGTAATGGTGTGTGGGAACGACCTTGGGAGACAGGAGGAACAGCTGCAGACTAGGCAACGGTCAGATAAGAGGCAGCTGAGCCCACAGAAGGAATGGAGGTGTGGAAAACATCTCAGAAGCTCCCTAGTTTCTTGGACTGTAACAGCGAGCAGGGAGAGAGGTGCTTTCAGACTTGCAAGATTCTGTTAATGCAGTGTTGTCCAAACCTGGCCACTTTAAGATGAGTGGACTTCAACTCCCAGAATTCCCCAGCCAGCATGGGGAAGTCCACTCATCTTAAAGTGGCCAAGTTTGGACAACACTGTGTTAATGTAACCTTACAATGAAGGTAGAAGGTAGCTCTGAGTGTGCTTCTGGTCTGGGTTACCTCATAAGGCTGACATTCCTTTCCTGTATTAGCTGGTTGAGTGGTTCCTGCACTCTTATACGCAAACGACGTTGTAATCAGTTCTGTTTCTTGGATGGGAACGAGAAGGGCTCAGAAAAGAAAACCTAGTAATAAACCACCAGAAAGCTTAAGCCTTAGCCTTGGCAAGAAACGATGATAAACCCAAAACTGGCCAATTGTTGAGAATGCTACTGAACAGGTGGAGATTTATGCCTTCCTTGAAGGCCTGTTCCAACCCTTCTCTCTCCCGGAGAGAAAAACTCTGCAAAAATCTGGCAAGGGACGCTCAGCATGGCTGTCCAGCTACCCAGCATTTTTCCACTGGAAAGGAGCTCCCTTCATCCCTGCAACTTGCAAGGTTTTTGTAGCCAAGATAATCTCTCCGCTTCCCTACAGGGTCCAAGTCTGAACGTTTAGGAAATTGGACATCCTTGAAGCCCCCCAATCAAAGTTGATTAGCGCTATCCTCGCAGTTCCAAGATGTATTAAGAACACAGCCCAGTCTTTAGAGACATGCTTAATCCCCATGGGTGCTGGAGTGCACAACTCTTTTTAACCTCTGGCTAAAGTTAATTTTTTTCCCCAGCCGGTTCAACCTGGCGAAGACAGGTTATCCCACTTCCTAGGATACACGTTGGAGAACATCTGTCCGTGAGGCTTTCAAAATGCCAGAAGTATTCTTAAGCAGTATATTGAGAATGCTAACCTTGAAACTCATCTAAGTCTGGTTTCCAGCCTCAAAGCTCATGGGTTTTTCCACAAGGGGACGTGCCAACTTCTTACTTCTGCATCGTCCTTCTGAAATTTCAGCTGGCCTTCAGTTTGGCCAGGCTGGGGCCCTGCCCTCTGCCATTCTGCAGGGGCACTAGAGAAGTACCCCCCACACACACACCCCTCAGCACATATATCCTGTGGGGACAGCTCAGGAGAGTATCAGGGTATGGTCAAAAAAGCCACTATGATGCCATCAAAGCCCAACCTGCACGCCCATAAAAAAGGGGCAAAGCTTCCACTGCACTTTCATGGCCACCACTGTTATTTTTTTCATCATATCCTACAGATACCCCTGTGTATGTGGGTGGGTGTTATCTGCATTTGACTGCTGGCCTGAAGACTGTAATAAAGGTTTGTTTGGACATCAGCAAGTTTGGCACTTGAGCTTTAGGAAGAAGCCAGGAGGACTCTCCCCAGCAAAGCCACCGGACTAAGGATTGCTAATGATGGCTTCCTGATCTCAGGGAAGGCCACTAACCTTATCTTGTGTTCACCTGAGCTCTGAGTGGAGGGACGGTGCTTCTTGACCTTGTCCCTGCAGCTTATAGTGTTTGGTGGGTGCGTGGGCGTGCAATCTAAAAGAATGTTCTGTGCGTCTCGAAAACAGAGCCAAGGAGATGTTATGGGGCTACGATGCGCTTTTAGCGCCCGTCCGATGTCGCAAGAGCCTTTCTCTCTCTCACAGAGGCTGGAAACGGGTGTAAGAAAAAGCCGGCACTCGGTCTCCCTTGCAACCAGCCTCCTTTGTCTTTGGAGGGCACCATCGCAACCCTCCCAGCCCGCTTCCGGGTCATCAGAATTCCGGAGAGGGAATGCTGGATCCCAAGGAGAAGACGACTTAGCTCCAGCATGCCTGGCTCCCCAAGAACCTGGCAACCAGCATTTCTAGAAGCAGCACCAAACCCGTATTTTGACCCGGAATGCCCTTCTTGCTCAGTCTGTCTAGTTTCAGTGGCTACCAAACCATGGGCAGACGAGTTCAAATCCACCTGCACGATGGATCGCTTGTTCTTCCTCTCCTCCCCGTGTTTTTGCTTTCTCTTTGCACCTCTTTCCTCTCCTTGTCCTCCTCTCTCATCCTGTTCAGCTGTTCCCCGCTTACTCACAGCCCGTCCACCGCTTGTCCCTACTTGTCTTCCACCTTAGCTTCCTGAACACCTGGGATCTCTTTCCAGTTCTCCTCCTCCTTTGGGAACCAATTGCTTCTCCCCCCCACACACCCCCACATACATGCATGGAAACCAACACCAGCCCGATCACTTGGAATGCCTGCAAACATTCCGCGCCCTCCCAACAGGTGAGACAAGGCAGACAAAGCACCCGATTGTCCAAAGGCAAGATCACTCCTTGCCATCGCATCCTTTACAGCCCCCGACGCAGTGCGTTCTCCTGGTTTACCTGGATCTGCTTACCTTTGCAGCAGGCCAACTTCCTATTAACTTAAAAAAAACAAAAATGAAGAAACCAGTCAGGTAGATCAGGGCTGGGAGGTACGCAGAGAAGTTATTTGATCTTGGGCAACTGGTTTGTGCAAGCAGCCTGTTCTTTTCCTGTTTGGACTATCACTCCTTCTCCTCTGTTCAAACCAGGAAAAGCCAGCATTTGTTTTCGACAGATATTTTAAAGAAGGAATGCTTCAAATAGACTAGTCCTGGCTGTGTAAACAGGTGGTCTTATCTCCTTCCTTAATCACCGATGGATTTAGGAAGCTGGCCTCCCGCAAAAGTCAATTAGATAAACCCAGTGGTCTGCCAACTCTATTTGGGGGCTGGGCTGTGTTAAATAAAATAAATCAGGGCTAGTTATCCATACAATTCTTGAATCTCTAGGCTCTGTAAACCACCATTGTTCTAAATCTAAAGCCCATCAAATGCCTTGCACTGATACTCTCGTCATCTCCAGCCTGCATGGCCAACAGTCTTTGGGTGCTGCAGAATTATTCATATCAACTCAGTGGTCTGCTAAATTTCCTGGGGATAAATCAGTGGGGGTAGGGAGGCCTGTGTTAAAGAAAATAAATCAGTGCAAATTATTCACATCACTCCTGGGTTCCTGGTCTCTAATAGACTTCCTGAACCTCAAGACCTCCAAATGCATGACATTGAAACTCTCCATCCAGCATGGCCAACAGTCTATGGCAGTG